GGTATTATGGGCGAAACAGTATACTCTGTTATGTCCATGGTACTGCTCATGTCTATAGGTGACGGTTACCACTTTCCATCAGGTGGGTCGACAACTTGTTTGCCATTCTAAGTTGAATAAAAAAAAAAACTAACACATTTACTGTTATCATCGTCCTTTCTGTAAACTGATATATTTGTAAAACACTGTCTCTTTGTAATTTCTTATGGACTCCCGCGATATAGGTTCGCCTAGTGCGGGGTCCAGTATACTCATGTTGTATATTTCTTGTGTTTCATTAATAAATAATAATAATAAAATGTAAATAAATAATAATATCAGTCTTTAACTGTCTATTGTTAAACATACCCTTCCCCATAAGACGGAGTTTGCCAGTAGATGCCATACTTGGCAACCGCGTTGGGCCGCTGCTGCCCATCCCTCGACCATTAAACTACCTTAGTCGCCTCTTACGACACTCACGGGAAAGAAAGGGGTGGTCTATTCTATGCCGGAACCACAGAGCAAGATTTACTGTAAATAAATAACATTGAGAAAGAAATAAATAATACTTTTTTATGCTATTCTGGTGCCAAACAAACATACGGCCTGTTTGATGGTGTGAATGCCTATACACACCAGGGTTGTCACGCGCTCGTTGTCGATCCTTAAGAAACTTTATCATGTTTTTTTTAAGAACCCCATGTAGTCTTTAGTGAAAAATAATTATAAATTTTTACAATCGATCCTTGTCCCGAATAAAGTGGACCTCCATAAATTACATTATTAGTCACCTGTAAACTTTTTTAGAATTACGTTAATTAGGAATTCTATTGAAAAAGTCATTAAAATTGATGATATGTGGAAGTGTTGATTGAATGATTAATTACATGAGGAAGTACATGTTTTTTTCTTTAAGCTATGGCTGTAAAATATTTTAAGAAAATTTTTATAAATGCTCATTATTCGCCCTTTGCAACGAGATTTTTTTTTTTAATATTTCTATGGTCTATGTAGGTATTTAATTTCATAAAGTGTAATTATAAAGTTTTTTAACGTAATCCGGACATTAAATATTAACATAAACAACTTTACAAGCTTTCACATTAGAAGAAAAATTAGTAGAATATCTAAAAAATAGGTGATAGTTACATTTCTCGCCGAAAATGCTGGATATATTTGTACATTAATGGTTCATGACATATTATAATTAGCATGACGTAATGACCTTTATAGTTCAAGGGACGGTAATGGAGAACGTACTCGTACGTATTTGCGATCAAACATTTTAAAGTCTAAGATGATGGCGTATCAAATTAATATGGATAACTATACGTGATTGTATTACTGACTAGTAATATTGAGAAGCGTAATGATGATTGCTTCCTGCGCAGCAGTGACCGGCTGTCCGCGGTGTGCGCGTGCGCCGAGGTGAGTCGTCCTAGCCGGCCGTGGCACGCTAGGTTCAGTCATGTTCATCGTGGTGGCACCTTACTATTATTATAACATAATTTCCGGACTCAAATTACGTGTTCACTATTGGGCTCGATTACAGTGCATGTTATGGCTACGCATAATAATGCTTTATTAATTTGTTAATGTTTCCTAATGATACAAACATAAACGGATATTCGTACTATGAAGATATCTCCATATTAATATCTATAGTGAAGAAATAAGTAATGTAAAACCAATTGCATATCGTCTGCACTATCTGTTTTATCTTACTCATGTTTCTGCCACTAAACAAGTAGGTACCTATGTTTCGGTTTGGTAGGGTTGGATTATGGTGGTGAATTTATAGGGCATGGGGGTGTAACATCTTTATTTTCAAGAATGGAAATGTATGAGCGTCACAATTTAGAATATAGTGCTGTTGGAAAATGGATTACCATTTTCCACCAAGTAGCTTTAGCATGTTTGCTGTTCAGACTTGCGTAAGAAAAAATAAATTTACGCTTATATTACGTGTGAGCGCACTATTTGCTAACCAAATTGAATATATCAATAAGGTCCTACGGAGTATGGTTTAATTTCGTTCATACAACACAGTCAGCTGTAGTTCGAAAATAACAGCAATTTGAATCGTAACAAAATTTGATTAGATAGGATCAAAATGCAAATAAATCCTAATACTAATTGATTGCAGAAAGTATTATCAAAATTAATTTAATCTTTATTATAAAAAAATATATATTGTAGTGATACTATTTCTGTATCTATATTTATATCGATTGATAACAATAACAATGACGACGAATACCTGTTATAATCGTAAATTCGTTTTAAATTGCCGCCAAAGCATACAAAAATATTTGTAGGCATATCGCAATCTGAAATGTAACAGCTAATTTCAGCATGAAATCAGTGTTTATTTAAATTATATTCATGTGTAATATGAAGCGTTCGGCCTGCATTTGATGGCATTGGCAGTGCGTTCCGCTTTGCGCTTAAAACGGTCATGACTGATGCGAATTAAGTGCGAATCGTATCTACTTTTTGTACAGTTAACTTTTCTTTGTAATTTATTTCTTAGAAATATGTAATTTATTATACTCGTATTCATACATCAAATATCAGATACTTGCAATTATAAAATTACAGACTAGCGACCCGTCTCGGCTTAGTTTTTTTGTTAATAAAATACACAAATGATTTTTATAGGTGAACGAGTGTCAAAAATCAGTAAAAATGTTTTTAATTATTTAAAAAAATACTCTCTTTATTATTAGTTTGAAAAAGAAATTCGTGCTCATGAGCACGAATTGTCTGATGTCCGCTCTAGGATTGGATCTGCAGGTATACTCTTGAATCTTATATTGATATTAATTTAACTTATTTATATTGCCAATAACAATTTTGTGCTGCATTCATAAAATAACAATTAGGAATTAAGTTCAAATTGGGATCGGTTCGCAAAAGTTTGCATTAGCAAGTTGCAATAATATGCATCTATCAGAATCAATATGGAACCATTATGTGGCTAGTATTGCAATTCGAGAATGTGAAACGTTTCAGTTCCAACATCGATTTATAGGAAATTATTTCTAAAGTAAGCCCACAGGTCTCTTTCCGTAAAATAATGCATCAATAAGAATGTAAAATGCTTTTAGTATAAATCTCTTGTTATGGTCTTTTTATCAAATCTTTAAACCAAAACTTTTTCCCAGTGAAGTATCATATACAGTAATTTATTTCGGATTTGAATATAAGATACGGAGCATGAGCACCGAATTATAACATAAAGAATAGACATTATTAAATTCATTTCTGAACACCGGTAAACTTGAATAAAACGCAGAACATCCGTCATGTTTCCTCACGCACCTTGATTTGACGATTATCATTAACATTTACGGTCATGACCACAGCGGCTCTCAGTTCTCTAGTAAAAAACAAAGAGGCATCAACAATAACGACCTTGCTACACTCGCGACAACGGTTGAGTAACATCTTCGGTAGAAAGCAAACTTTCTTCGTACCGCCATTTTCATGATTTGTTACCGGGATTGCATAAAATAATTGACGAGATAATACCCATCACGATTCGTGGCGAGTTTCACAGTGACATTCAAAAACCATTTCCGATTTTGAATGGTAATGAATACTTATTCGCGATTTATTATTACTCGATTGTGTGTACTTGTATGTTGACCGCAATGGGAACCGGTTAAATGAAAAATTAAAACTAAGAATTTTGTTTTTGCTGAAACACGATGTGCTACCAATTTAAGATTCGTTATAGTTTAGTTACAACCTAAAATGTCTAATAAAATATTGAGTCAAAGGTTTTGTGTACTGTGAAACTATTAATTTCTATCATATATCGTCATACACGATACAATTCTTCTAAAGAAGATAGAGATACGTAACATATTGTATATACATTTTCCGATTCATCGATAATACGATTGATTTAATATTTGTTTTTGGTCAGATGCGTGTATGTTGAGGCGGTCCGACCGCGGCTCGATGTCAGGGTCCATTGACACTTTCACCGGAGCCTTACTAAGTTTTACGTCACAAGCGACCGCGGCCCGCGGCCCGCGACCCGCCGCCATTATATCATCACGAAATCAGCTGCCACTGGCAGATAAGTGGCGCACTGGCACACTGGGTTTTGGTCGAATCTTTGCTCTTTATCTGATTCATCCGTATGCCTCATTTCAGTAATTAAATTTTGCTGGATTACGTATTGCGTAGTTAAGCATAATTGTCCACATTTTATCTGTTTTATGTCATGTTCTACAGTGTGGCTTTATTAATTGTTGGAAAGTTGCTGAATTCTTTGTAGTAGATATGTAGAAATACCTATATAATATATTTGTTGTATGCAAAAGAAAATAAAAGATTTGACGTGAGGCATATTATCGTTGTCAACCTAATAGAATTCATTTGGTTAGTAATATTTAAGGAATTTTTTTGGTGTTTGCACATTTATATTAAGATTTCGTTACGAAGAAGTTTATTACAAAAAATATATACATACAAAACGCAACCAAAAATATAAATATACAAATAAGAAAACAATAATAGAATAAAAAAAAAAATCGGAAGGAAATATAAGTTATGACAAAGCCAGTTGGGTGCTTGTTTTAGCTTAAGTTTCCACATGTAATACATATGAAGTCGTAGTCGTATTATAATAATATCACTTCATAATATCATTTACGAGTGGTGTATTGCACTGTGCCTGACATGCAAACAATTTTACATCATCCGACTTATTGTATTATGTACCTGCAACTATTGTCTTTGTGGTTTCTATTTACTCGTGCGTTGCCTGCCATTCGTCATGGGGTGTAAGCCTTTGTACTTCACTGTTGTGTAACCCAAGAAGTTCAAACGAGAGTCTTAAAATGCTACGGGCAACATTTCGTAACCTTTACATCTAGAATATGCAAACGTAATAAGCAGTTTACTGCATATTAAGACCGTTTGGTTACAGTTAATTATTTATGTGCGAGTGCTCTGGCCGTTCCGCTTATTTATAATGTAAATAAACATTGGAAGATTCTCACCTGAGTTCGGAGGAGGGAATCTTGTACTTTTCTCTTTTCATTTCCACGTCTTTATGTAAAGTCACCGTTGCGTTTCACTCTTCATTTCACAATTGACGCACGACTAGCGTGTACACAACAGTTTTGCATATACACTAAGTCACACATAAAGATACCACGAAGTGCCAGTTACATGACCATTTCCCACCTCAGCAGTGCCTGTAATAGAAAAGATGAATTAATAACGATTTTCATTAAATTTTACACATGAGTGTTGTGGCTCAGTAATATAGTTTCCAGGGAGAACCGCGTGGAAATGACAAGGTACACTGCTAGCAACAAGGCTGTTAGAACCCATTATTAACAATCCCTTTGCCCTTCTTTTCTATTGGTTTTCCTACTTCTAAAATCCACACGGACCAAATAGTACTATGTCGATTGACTGCAAAGGACGTTAGTTCGAGTTTGGCCTATACCAAAAGCTTTATGTGTACTCTCCGGTGATGGAAAATATCTATAATAATAATAAATCCGAATGGCGGCGGTAGGCCCACCTTCTGCCACATAGGATACTAATATAGGGATTTTAGTTTCCAGCGATATACTCGACTGCCCACATTTTGTCGAGGTAGATGTCGGATAGTAAGTTCACCACAACAGTAGAAGTCAACATATCTCTCATCGCCTTATTCGAAATTCTAATTATATTTAGTGCGTGAAAGGTGTGAGAGAGTTGACTTAAAGATATTTAATTATTCTTACTACAAAGTCGTATGGTGATGTAATTCCAATGAAACTGGAATGATGACACGGTCATTATTCACATAGCGTTCGATGACTAAATCGACGAAATTTAAACATTTTAACTTCTTAAATAAGTAAAATTGTGCATTCTACAATTTGTTTTAATAAAGCTTCTAAAAATAGTTTAATTATCAATTACTTATTTCCATGTGAAATATGTAATACTTAATATTATTATCAAGTTAGGTAACTCTAAACTTATGTTATCTCTTTAAACCTGCTCATAGCTTCACCTCTTTATCTGATTCCCCTATTAAAATGAAAGGAGGAAGAGGTTTTCATGTGATTCTTGAACCTTAATTACAGATTATCTTCTATTTATATGGAATTTGTAGCTGGATTACTACTTACAGTGAGATAAATAGATGTACGTGAGATATAAATCATCAATTACTGTATACTTGCTAACTTCGCGACTTCGTTCATGTTGTAATCTAAATTAACTTGATTGTAATCTAGATTAACGTGAACATGGATATATATATATATATATATATATATATATACACACACAAAGGTTCTTGTGTAGTGAATCTGTACGCGCAAACGTAGTGTAGGACCATCCTCCATTAGATGAAGTGACGACCTCAAACACATTGTAGGGATGTAGGTGGCTCAGTGGATAGATATTATGATGATGATATAAATTTGACATTTCAAAAACACGGAAATACGTGTCTCTTATTCGTACAGGGTCATACCAATTAAATAGGCAATGTAATTTATACTTAATTTGAAACTCTTTACAACGGAAAACCTACGACAGAATACTTGATACGATTTAATATGATATCGGAAATAAAATATATTAGAAATATTAGATTTCTGTATTAAAAATTAATGAAGCTTTCAATATCACTCATGTAAATAAGTACATACGCGCTTTTGTGACGCTTTCAGTTTTACACGTTCGCTAATGCATTAGCCATTTCTAGTAGTTGAGATACAAAAAGAAAGCAACATGAATAATTTGTGTTCTATCGACACAATCATATACAACAATCTTCTAATTTAGGGTCACCTGGACAAATGTGTAAGCCTTTATGGTATGAGTAAATAAAGCAGACAAGGTTCTTCATATACTGTTTCACGCGGGAAAAACCGCGGGATACAGTAATACTAGTGAAAAATATAATTGGTGAATGGATAATGAAATTATAAGTAGACATTGTAAATAAAAATGCGTAGCAATGTAGCAAACACTTTATTTACCTAAGCCATAATTTTTGTGAATTATGTTCGATTTTTAGGACTCATTTCAGAAAGAAATAGAAGGTAACTCTTAAAAAAGTATTTGTCTATTTATCTAAAGGAAACAACGTTTTTAATTATTGATAAGTAATTTAAATTTAAATTTAATTAGTGATAAGATATCGTTAAAAAGAGAATTTAATTTATATAAAATATATATTAAATAAATAGCTCCTCTAAAAGATTGGTTAAATCTCCTGATTTAATTCATCTTATTCTTATTCACGTATATCGTTCACTTTATTATTAGAGGTCTGAGAGACAAAGTTAAAAGTATATTAGCTACGGAACCTATTTAACCGATTTTCAAGTTGCTCTTAGCGTGATTTTTTATATAATTAAATTTATTATGGCTGTGAAATACCTTGCAGGTATAATTAGGGTCAGTTATAAAACAAATGCCCGAAACGAAGAAAAACTACTAAGATACGTTTGTTTCGTCGTATGAAATCGAATGAGTTTTGTATATGAAATTCATTCATAATGATTGATTCTGTAACGGTTATTATTTTTAGTGTAAAACTTGCGCATTGCTATTGTTTATGAAATCAGTTGTTCATACGCAGTGATTCCGATCGGGCGCAAGCGCTCAATAAATGGAGTCAATTTTAACACCTTTGTATGTACGAGTATGAACACCTGCAATAAAGAAGTGTCATCACGTGCGCGTTACCGCTCCTTAAGAAACATTATTACGCCCTTTTTGAAGAATCTAATGTATATTATATTTTTTTACTGTGTCATTCAAACAAATATTTTCATGCAGGTAGCTCATACATTATGGATTGTAGGTAGTTACTTATCACGTGTTGCATTTATGACATGACATACTAGCTTTTACACGCACCTTCCTCCGCGTGATAGGGATACATTGGTATTTTTTTTATCGACTAAAATGAAATGATAACCACGCTTGAGCTATCAGCATACGCTGATGGGGCACCAGTAAGAGATGATGATGTCAGGATGAATACAGATTAATTTATTCATCATTTCGAATTCTACGAGAATTAACTAAAGGTTTTCAGGAGGACCTGGCAGGGTATATTGCTAGCAATGAGCTTTTTGATTTCATTACTAACAATCCCTTTCTTTTCCCATAGATATATACCCTACAATCACTATAAAATTTGGTATATGTCTATACTATATACCAATTTCCATTGAAGCGTTAAGAGATAAAAATTAAACAAATAAACAAAAAAAAAAATTAAAAAAATTCACTTTTACATTTATATTACTAATAAGGATATTTATAGATAGAGAAAAAAATTAAATTATGTTTTATACTTGGCATTTAGTAAAGAATCTTTTCGTATCTTTTTATGGTAATAACAGTGCATAAAATAAATACTATATTCATAAAATTAGAATAAAAATTTATTTATGAAAATTTTATATGTATTATTATTCCTCTTAATAAAAAGAGGATATATATTGACTAAATTTCTAGCAAATAATTTATTATTATAATTACTAAAAAAATATGCCATTTTATAAAAAAATATCCCAACTATAAAAATTGCCGGACAGTTCCATTATTATTTATAGTGATGGAAATAAAAAGCAGTTTATGTCTTTTATCATCCTACTCTACTAGTATACCAAATACAATGATGATTGATTGAGCCGTTAGGATATCAAGTTGTAACAAACATTTATAATAAAAGTAAGGATTATTATGATAAGAAAAGGTAATGAAAATTATTCATTAGCATTGGTTAGTAGATGCAGATATTTGCGTGGGCTGTTGCAAGATGACCTTCGTTTGGAGCCAAGCAGGCAGGACCCGAGGCGATCGCTCGATGTTTCTACAATCGATTCAAACCACCTATAATTACTCATTACCATTACACTAATGGACCCCCGATCGGGGTCGTGCGTTACGTGCTTTGTCACGACTTGATAATAAACATCTAAGGTGTATGTTGATTCTAACGTCCTCTCTAATAATATTCATACTCTATTCGTATATATTTAATGACTTGTACATTTATAAATCGCTAATTGGATAAGTGGTATGTTAAAAGATTAAATGTAACTGAAAATGAAGTGTCTTTTTCTAAGCTTAATATATATCTCTTAATTTTATGCAGTGTTTATATTAACAATTCAAGTTACCCAACTGATGCTTGCACTAATATTATTTTGCATTAGTTACAGTGTAATTACCCTACTACTACTACTATAATTTTCAAATCTTTAGTGACTATTCAGTACAAATACGTATCGTAGTGTGGCCCTGAAATAGAATGGACCACCCCTTCCTTGTCGTGGGTGTCGTAAGAGGCGACAAAGGCGCTTAATAGTAGAGGGATGGACACAGCGTCCCTCTTAAAACATTACCAAAGTTGTATAAACAAAACGTTGTAACAAAGTTGTACCAAATATTACCAGTGCGGTTGCCAATCCGCCTGTCAACCGTGGCGACTATTGGCAAAACCCTCCAGTAGGGAGAGGCCCATATTCAGCAATGGACGGCTTATATGATGACGATTTTTTACGTTTTACTTCAAGTTCGATTCTGCCCGCCCCTGCTTAATATTGGATATAGCGTAAACATATGTAAAGAATGGATAATTGTTAGCCAAGCGATATATCGAGTGTATTTATAGAAGGACGTCCATATTAACATGCATGAAAGTAAACACAAGGAAAACGAAAATGCAAACACGATGACGTCCTCACTACGTCTCGTGGTGCGGGGCGGCGACGGCAGCTTGCGCAAGAGTGGTCGCACAAACATCGATCACCGGTGGCCTTGCCCGAAATTCTTCTTTGACCACTACTACGATATAACCCCACCACTTTTATTGTTATAAAGCTTATTTTTTAATTAATAATTTTACGACTTTGAAATGTATCCATTCAGCCAATCTTCTATAGTTGTTTTTAGGTCGTATTATATCATTGCACAATGAGGTACACTAATATAAAAAATGATATTTATGTAGGTAAATTCTTTATAACATCTATATATACATATATCTTCTAATATTATATATATGTATATATATAATATAAGTAGGGAGTACTAAACTTAAATGCAATGTCAGTTTGAGACAGTGGGTCTGTTTATATCAGCATGGTAGTCATTATCTGTTCATTGTTCAACATAGGCTTCTCCCATATACTGCCACAAGTAACAGTTCTGAACCACCTGC